AGAGAACACAGACGTATTAAGACGCAGTCCAGCACGATGTCTGACGACCAGGTTGATTTAGTTGCTAGGGATCCCAATGGACTTAACAGCCATTTGGGGGTAAGCGTTTCTCTCAGCAGTTTTATCTCTCTCTTTAATTTAATTTTAAAATCGTTTTAAATAACATAAAATTACAGCATTTTTGTAATGTCAACCAATGAATAATTAAACTAACGATGTGTCTTTACGACGTACCTAAAAATATTCCTATAGAGCTTTAAAAAGTATAATTAATTATATGTCATGTTGAACAGAAACAACCAAACGTAAATACATCTTCGTTACACACAATTAACTTTATACGTACATTTGCGGTAGTTTTATCAATTATAGATTACTGATCTCATTAAAGTTTCTGTCGTTTGTTTTTAATTGAGTCGAACGACTAGAGTAAAATGTTCACTGCCTATGTTTACTGTCTGTTTTTCTGTTATAAATGTTAAATCACATTGAAGGTATACGGACGATACTCTATGTCACTTTTATGATTCAGTATCCTTTTTTCCAAAATATCCCACACTCCTTTGCGTTAACTGAAACGTGTAATGTAAAATTATAAAAATCAGAAATATTACAATTCACATGATAAGTTAACCCCAGATCGACCTCTGTTTTATGTCTCGTTGCTGGGTTACAAAACAGAAAATGTAAAGACACATTTCCGCCTAAGTTCATTCCTGCCATTTTGAAATCATCATGAAGATCATTTTGTTGTTATTTTCCCATTTCTTTTTTAGACTCTGCTGTTCAACGATGTCCTTGGTGAGCCCGATGGTACCCACAGTATTGACTGCGTCTGGAAGCTGTCCTACACATGTTTCGAATGCTGGAAGGGCCTGTGTTACAAGCTCCTGACTCTCTTCTGCGGAATCTGTATTGCGATGGAGTGGGGCTGCGAGTTCGCCTACATTGCATTCTATCACATCTGGTTCATCACTCCATGCATGAAGGTCTGCGAGATCAACTGTGGACTCTGCCAGAAGGTCTACACTCTTATCATCAACTGTTGCATACAGCCGTGTACGGAGGCCTGCGGAGGAATCTTCGTTCACTTCAAGAGATGAGAAGGATATGGATGGTAGGCGTCATGTTATAGTTCAATTGACATTCATTATCAGAACTTAACACACGGACTATCCTTTTCTCTATCAACATGACTTCCAACGGAAAACTGGATCCCTTCACGTGCGTTCCATTTCAATCTGTGATATATTTATTTCTCTCTACAGAGATGCATAATAATGATGGTTTTCCTAACGGAACTTTGGACGATTTACTCGTTTGTTGACATGTTTCCATGGTGATGCTTCATACGTTTCTATGGCAGTTGTAAACGTGTTTGTCGTTTTATAAGTCGATGGAAGGAAATAAATTTGTATATATTTAATTATAATTATTGTTTTTGTCGTTATATAATTGTTTAATATCTTTATTTATGAAGTTTTTATTAATATTTTTTGTAGTCTTCGCTTTAGAACAACCAGACATAAAAACTCCCGTAACTAACTTTGGAATGATCAAGAAATACGGTCTCATTGTCTCTGAACGCTCTTTCGCATAAGAACGTCATTTTAATTCAAAATTATTATTGTTATGCTTTGGTATCAAGAAACCGTTTAACTCTGAACATCTTCTGTAAGAAATTGTCTCAGAAAATTCATATCTATCTTAAAATATCATTACGATCTATAATATGCAGTTGTGTTTTCTGCAATGGATTATCTGTTTGGAATTCAGATTATATTGATTAAAAACCCGCACTCACTATGTGACATTGTCTTAGTATCCTGTAACAGATTTAATACTTAAACTTGCTGGACGTAAATGCGAAAAAGTCATATCTTTATTGTTAATTTCTGATCTCAATATAAACATCAAATCATGAAGAGGTCAGTTCACAAGATCGTACAAACATTTTCTGAATGGTTTCCTAAATGTGAATCTATATATCAGTCGACCAGTAAGAATGAAATATGACTGTAGATATATATATATATATATATATATATATATATATATATATATATCTCAGATGGAAGTTTCCGTCCTGATCTTAATGTAAAATTTGGAACTTTTCTGAGTTGCGAAAGAGCGCTTTTTCATGGGTTCCATACAGTACGAGTTTTTGATAGACTGACCGATAACCAACCTGTCCTTGAGGAGTCTTTTATAAGAAGCAGTAGTATAAATGGATTATGACGTCACTCGTGTACAAGTCAGAACTTGTACTTTAGCGTTTTAATTTATGGAATGGTCAGTCCCAGGAGTGCTAGCTGTAAAGTAAACAGGACTGTGGACACACCGTAATGATCAGGCATTCGTATGTTAATTGATTCCAGGCCAAAACATTCAACACTTAAACCAACCGGCCGGTCTGTCAACAATAGCCATGGGCTCAAGTGTATAGTTACACTAATTTGGATTAATGGTGACACTTAGCAACAGGGCCAGTCACCAACAACATTCGGACATTGTTTATAACAACCGGCGTGTACACTGACCACACACATCAATGTCATATTTACTTATATCTACTGAAATACGTCTATGAAAGTTTCACTTCACAATTAGACAACAAAAAAGAAGAACAGTTGGTTCTAGAAACGTAATTAGCCACAACTAATTATCGTCTCGGACAACGATTTAACCGTTTATTACACTTTAAAACCATTAGTTTAAAAACAAACTAGTAGTTCACAAAACATAACATTGATAATTGAACTAATTAAATTTGCTGCATTATTATACTATACGATTAAACTTAGATGTTAAGTTTGTTCCATCAGATACGATTATCAGATCATTAACTTAGTATATCTGTTTGACGATTTTGATTATTCCTGATGTGAATCGTTAAGGACACAGTGCCCGGAACTTAAATCCTCTTCGACATTAGAGCTCACTCTGTGACTGTTCTGCGATACAACGTGTTATAAAACACATTTTCATCTTTTATTCTTAACTCTAATCAAATGACTGGAGATAACAAGGCATTTAAGTAAACCAAAACTCGATGAATGTTAGACATGCACCTCAAAGATTGTTGTCAGACCCGAAGCTTTAATTTCAATTTTAAAAATATCATGAAGCACAAGGACGAAAAAAATTAGAGTGATAAACAAGTTTCAGTAAGCTAAATATAAAGGGCGGTAACTAAATGACGTCAGACTTCGTGATATTTACAGGTGTTAAAAAACAACGAACCAGATTGATACTCATTATTGGAGTTATCTCCCCTCACCTTTGTTGTACTACATCATGTTGCCCGTTCTGATTTTAATTTTTCTGTCTCATTTGCCTTAATACACGCTATCGTGACTGTTAGTTGACGAACATATTCGAATGTTCATTTGGGTTTCGTTTATTTCTTCCTCCTTTTTTTCGTTTTTTTACACTTTGATATCATTTTCATAGGGTTTCTGCAACTTTTATTTAAACTTTTAACTTAAATTTCAGGTTTGTAAACTTATATCGTCACATATTACACATTTTTGGAGGTATGGTAGATGTAAACCAATTTACTACTGAGTCTGGGAAATATGTACTGCATTATACGTACCTGCTACTGTAAATGTACTCAAGTAATGTATTTTATTTGTCGGGTGCTAACAGTGTAAACAATTACAGATAGAAGGTAAATAGCAAACCCACAGATCTATATAGGTAATAACGGCACCGAACTGTTACTGAAGGTAAATAGCAAACCCACAGATCTATATAGGTAATAACGGCACCGAACTGTTACAGAAGGTAAATAGCAAACCCGCAGATCTATATAGGTAATAACGGCACCGAACTGTTACAGAAGGTAAATAGCAAACCCACAGATCTATATAGGTAATAACGGCACCGAACTGTTGCACAGTTAATTACAATAGATTTAAACAAACAAGTCGCCAAACCAGATACACCTGACCGGACAGGTGTCCGCGCCGTAACTCAATTTGTTTTATTTACAGGTCTAGTATTCAAATACAATCGTCCATGTATATGCTAACAGAAGACACTAAAGATTAGCTTATAAGACAGAAAATACTACGATTACCAATTAAACACGTAGTAAGGTGTTAAGGGGGATCACCCGTACACCGGATTGGAAGGGGGACAACTCGTATATTATTTCTCAAATGCATAACCTGTGTTTTGATAATGAAACGTACACTCTATCTATTCCAATATAGAATAACGCACCAGAAATCATTGACATTTTCCTTTGGATAAAATTGTGGTGCAGGCGCTTACAATTCCAAAATTGTCAGCTTTCTCTTCACAGCATGTAAAGGCATGCAGTTTTCACTTTGTTTTCTTAAAGTCTTCTTAAAATTTTGAATATGATCGATTACTTGTATCACATCGAAGTTTCACTAATATGCGTCCTTTAAAAAAAACCCAGAAGCGTTACAATTTTATCTTTAACATTTTATGTATGAAACTAAAGAATTTCGGTAAATAGCTATGACATGCTGTATCTGTTAAGAAATCAGTTTTAAATGACTGAGATCCTGTGTCTTGATAAAAGTTCACATTAAGCTTAATTTGTTAAGATTTCTATAGCTTCTGTGGGAAGGATATGCCCCCTACACGCCCTCTTTAACTCATATCAAATTGAATCCACGTTGACAATGACATTCCTTACCCTTTGTACAATCTTATGCAACAAAGATGGCTGAAATGTAAATATCTAGACCATTGTAGATAAATACATAAATAATGGGGACTTACGCTGTGTGTCGATATACAACACAGACTGTTGCTGATCTTTTCCCCCCATTTTTGTTAATTATAACTCCGAATCCTTAGACTCACCTTCATAAACGCATCTAAATGAAACCCTACTCCCCAACTAGTCCACAATATAATAGAAGCCAACACTTTTCCAATATTGCGACAGTTTTATCTATCAAAATTGATAAAAGATACATAAGTTACATATCATGATTAGTTTTAGAGTTGTATTAAGCATGTACTGGTGTAGTAACACAAGCCCTGTTACTCCTTCTTCATTGTAATTGTAATTCCGCTGAATATCCTTCCGCAAGCTTCAAACACGGGGCTGACCACGGCCTCTATGAATATTCTCCATATTTTGGCGTAAGGGATTATTTCTATGGCATAGCGTCTAATCATTGGCCGCACGTTCCATACAAAGCCACATGTCAGGCATGCGAAACTGATTCCCCAGCAGAACGCACACGGGATTGCGAAAATAGCAGTGAGAATCCGATAGCACCAAAACTTAGTTTTTGTGAAAACAACAGAACTATTCACCCAAACACAGTCGATACTGTGGTAGCCGTCCGGTTCTGCGAACAAGTCATCAAACTCCACCTGAAAAATAAAACATGATCGTAATAATTCTAACAATAAGATCCCAATCTTACAATGGATACACGCGTATTGTCACCAGTCAGTGGGTACACGCGTATTGTCACCAGTCAGTGGGTACACGCGTATTGTCACCTGTCAGTGGGTACACGCGTATTGTAACCAGTCAGTGGGTACATGCGTATTGATACAAGTCAGTGGGTACACGCGTATTGTCACCAGCCAGTGCATACAGGAGTATTGTTACTTAAGGATTAACTGTAATACTTTTTTACATTATTGGGATCCCAATCTTACAATGGATACACGCGTATTGTCACCAGTCAGTGGGTACACGCGTATTGTCACCAGTCAGTGGGTACACGCGTATTGTCACCAGTCAGTGGGTACACGCGTCTTGTTACAAGTCAGTGGGTACACGAGTATTGTCACCAGTCAGTGGGTACACGCGTATTGTCACCAGTCAGTGGGTACACGCGTATTGTCACCAGTCAGTGGATACACGCGTATTGTCACCAGTCAGTGGATACACGCGTATTGTCACCAGCCAGTGGGTACACGCGTATTGTCACCAGCCAGTGCATACAGGAGTATTGTTACTTAAGGATTAACTGTAATACTTTTTTACATTATTGAGATCCCAATCTTACAATGGATACACGCGTCTTGTCACCAGTCAGTGGGTACACGAGTATTGTCACCAGTCAGTGGGTACACGCGTATTGTCACCAGTCAGTGGGTACACGCGTATTGTCACCAGTCAGTGGGTACACGCGTATTGTCACCTGTCAGTGGGTACACGCGTATTGTAACCAGTCAGTGGGTACATGCGTATTGATACAAGTCAGTGGGTACACGCGTATTGTCACCAGCCAGTGCATACAGGAGTATTGTTACTTAAGGATTAACTGTAATACTTTTTTACATTATTGAGATCCCAATCTTACAATGGATACACGCGTCTTGTCATCAGTCAGTGGGTACACGAGTATTGTCACCAGTCAGTGGGTACACGCGTATTGTCACCAGTCAGTGGGTACACGCGTATTGTCACCAGTCAGTGGGTACACGCGTATTGTCACCAGTCAGTGGGTACACGCGTATTGTCACCAGTCAGTGGGTACACGCGTATTGTTACAAGTCAGTGGGTATACGCGTATTGTCACCAGCCAGTGCATGCAGGAGTATTGTTACTTAAGGATTAACTGTAATACTTTTTTACATTATTGAGATCCCAATCTTACAATGGATACACGCGTCTTGTCATCAGTCAGTGGGTACACGAGTATTGTCACCAGTCAGTGGGTACACGCGTATTGTCACCAGTCAGTGGGTACACGCGTATTGTCACCTGTCAGTGGGTACACGCGTATTGGCACCAGGCAGTTGGTACACGCGTATTGTCACCAGCCAGTGGGTACACGCGTATTGTCACCAGTCAGTGGGTACACGCGTATTGTCACCAGTCAGTGAGTACACGCGTATTGTTACAAGTCAGTTGTTACACACGTATTGTCACCACTCAGTGGGTACACGCGTATTGTTACCAGTCAGTGGGTACAGGCGTATTGTCACCAGTCAGTGGGTACATGCGTATTGTCACCAGTCAGTGGGAACACGCGTTTTGTTACAAGTCAGTGGGTACACGAGTATTGTTACAAGTCAGTGGGTACACGCGTATTGTCACCAGTCAGTGGGTACACGCGTATTTGTTACAAGTCAGTGGGTACACGCGTATTGTCACCAGCCAGTGCATGCAGGAGTATTGTTACTTAGGGATTAACTGTAATGCCTCAATAACGTAAAAGAAGTATTACAGTTAATCCTTGAAATTTAATTTTAAAAGATAAAAAAAATCTTACGTTAAATTTTCATTGTTTATTCCCTTCAAAACAAGTAACAATTCATTTCAAAACGGGGTAAACGTAGGCTAGTCTTGTTACCTCCCCTTGATCAATATTTGTTTACACTGTGAACTTCCGGTAGATGCGAAAGTACTTCCTTTTTTATTTTTTATGTTATGAACTGATAACATGAAAACATATAGCCAATGAAAATGCTTGTTACTGGTGAAATTAAATTATATATCATTGGGTACACGCGTATTGTGAAATGTTAGTCGATACACGTGCATCGGTACGAGTCAGTGGGTACACGTGCATCGCTACGAGTCAGTGGGTACACGTGTATTGTCATATCGATTACTTGGACGATAGTTACTCTTTAAAGTGACTACACGGGAAGTGGATACACTGAAATACAGGGAAGATAATTATGATATAGTTGAAATGTGAATTTATGCTCATGCAGTTTGCTAATTGCGTTTTAAAATCGTTTTTTGACCTCACGTGTTTAAAGAGTGTTATTTCAATGCATGTCTTGATCAATCTTCAATTTGTTAAGTCAATAGTGTTTTAATGGCTTACCTTGACATCATCATTCATGTGTGTCGGGTCTCGGTCAGACAGGTCAATCTTGATGATACCGGGTTCGTTGCTGAACTTGGAAGCGCTGACTTGGGGTGTGTAGACATGGCTTGGAGTACCCGCTTTCGGAGGAGCCTGGCCCGGCGGTGCTTCGGGCTGTTGATGTTCCTGGTGAAGAGCGCTCTCGTTGAGCGGGATGTCGTCATATGTGATGTCATATGTGTTATCATACTGTCAATAGCCAAAATTATAAATTATTACAAGCAGCCAATTCATTAGATTAATTTGTGTAGTTGTTTTAATTCAAATAATCACACGCATATTTTTAATGTAGCACAGACTCATACACCCCCAGCCAGGTAACATACAATGGTATCACCTATCGAAATTTCCTATCCACATGTCTAGGTTACATACAATGGTATCACCTATCGAGATTTCCTATCCCCTGTCTAGGTTACATACAATGGTATCACCTATCGAGATTTCCTATCCCCTGTCTAGGTTACATACAATGGTATCACCTATCGAGATTTCCTACCCACCTGTTTAGGTTACATACAATGGTATCACCTATCGAGATTTCCTATCCCCTGTCTAGGTTACATACAATGGTATCACCTATCGAGATTTCCTATCCACCTGTCTAGGTTACATACAATGGTATCACCTATCGAGATTTCCTATCCCCTGTCTAGGTTACATACAATGGTATCACCTATCGAGATTTCCTATCCACCTGTCTAGGTTACATACAATGGTATCACCTATCGAGATTTCCTATCCACATGTCTAGGTTACATACAATGGTATCACCTATCGAGATTTCCTATCCACCTGTCTAGGTTACATACAATGGTATCACCTATCGAGATTTCCCCTGTCTAGGTTACATACAATGGTATCACCTATCGAGATTTCCTATCCACCTGTCTAGGTTACATACAATGGTATCACCTATCGAGATTTCCTATCCTATGGTATCAGCTATCGAGATTTCCCCTGTCTAGGTTACATACAATGGTATCACCTATCGAGATTTCCTATCCCCTGTCTAGGTTACATACAATGGTATCACCTATCGAGATTTCCTATCCCCTGTCTAGGTTACATACAATGGTATCACCTATCGAGATTTCCTATCCCCTGTCTAGGTTACATACAATGGTATCACCTATCGAGATTTCCTATTACATACCTCCCCTGTCTAGGTTACATACAATGGTATCACCTATCGAGATTTCGTATGTCCTGTCTAGGTTTGTTACAATGGTATCACCTATCGAGATTTCCTATCCCCTGTCTAGGTTACATACAATGGTATCACCTATCGAGATTTCCTATCCCCTGTCTAGGTTACATACAATGGTATCACCTATCGAGATTTCCGATCCCCTGTCTAGGTTACATACAATGGTATCACCTATCGAGGATGGTATCCTCGAGATCCCCTGTCTAGGTTACATACAATGGTATCACCTATCGAGATTTCCTATCCCCTGTCTAGGTTACATACAATGGTATCACCTATCGAGATTTCCTATCCCCTGTCTAGGTTACATACAATGGTATCACCTATCGAGATTTCCTATCCCCTGTTTAGGTTACATACAATGGTATCACCTATCGAGATTTCCTATCCACCTGTCTAGGTTACATACAATGGTATCACCTATCGAGATTTCCTATCCCCTGTCTAGGTTACATACAATGGTATCACCTATCGAGATTTCCTATCCCCTGTATAGGTTACATACAATGGTATCACCTATCGAGATTTCCTATCCCCTGTCTAGGTTACATACAATGGTATCACCTATCGAGATTTCCTATCCCCTGTCTAGGTTACATACAATGGTATCACCTATCGAGATTTCCTATCCCCTGTCTAGGTTACATACAATGGTATCACCTATCGAGATTTCCCCTGTCTAGGTTACATGCAATGGTATCACCTATCGAGATTTCCCCTGTCTAGGTTACATACAATGGTATCACCTATCGAGATTTCCTATCCCCTGTCTAGGTTACATACAATGGTATCACCTATCGAGATTTCCTATCCCCTGTCTAGGTTACATACAATGGTATCACCTATCGAGATTTCCTATCCCCTGTCTAGGTTACATACAATGGTATCACCTATCGAGATTTCCTATCCCCTGTCTAGGTTACATACAATGGTATCACCTATCGAGATTTCCTACCCACCTGTTTAGGTTACATACAATGGTATCACCTATCCAGATTTCCTACCCACCTGTTTAGGTTACATACAATGGTATCACCTATCGAGATTTCCTACCCACCTGTTTAGGTTACATACAATGGTATCACCTATCGAGATTTCCCCTGTCTAGGTTACATACAATGGTATCACCTATCGAGATTTCCCCTGTCTAGGTTACATACAATGGTATCACCTATCCAGATTTCCTATCCCCTGTCTAGGTTACATACAATGGTATCACCTATCGAGATTTCCTATCCCCTGTCTAGGTTACATACAATGGTATCACCTATCGAGATTTCCTATCCCCTGTCTAGGTTACATACAATGGTATCACCTATCGAGATTTCCTATCCCCTGTCTAGGTTACATACAATGGTATCACCTATCGAGATTTCCTATCCCCTGTCTAGGTTACATACAATGGTATCACCTATCGAGATTTCCTATCCCCTGTCTAGGTTACATACAATGGTATCACCTATCGAGATTTCCTATCCCCTGTCTAGGTTACATACAATGGTATCACCTATCGAGATTTCCTATCCACCTGTCTAGGTTACATACAATGGTATCACCTATCGAGATTTCCTATCCACCTGTCTAGGTTACATACAATGGTATCACCTATCGAGATTTCCCCTGTCTAGGTTACATACAATGGTATCACCTATCGAGATTTCCTATCCACCTGTCTAGGTTACATACAATGGTATCACCTATCGAGATTTCCTATCCCCTGTCTAGGTTACATACAATGGTATCACCTATCGAGATTTCCCCTGTCTAGGTTACATACAATGGTATCACCTATCGAGATTTCCTATCCCCTGTCTAGGTTACATACAATGGTATCACCTATCGAGATTTCCTATCCCCTGTCTAGGTTACATACAATGGTATCACCTATCGAGATTTCCTATCCCCTGTCTAGGTTACATACAATGGTATCACCTATCGAGATTTCCTATCCCCTGTTTAGGTTACATACAATGGTATCACCTATCGAGATTTCCCCTGTCTAGGTTACATACAATGGTATCACCTATCGAGATTTCCTATCCCCTGTCTAGGTTACATACAATGGTATCACCTATCGAGATTTCCGATCCCCTGTCTAGGTTACATACAATGGTATCACCTATCGAGATTTCCTATCACCTGTCTAGGTTACATACAATGGTATCACCTATCGAGATTTCCTATCACCTGTCTAGGTTACATACAATGGTATCACCTATCGAGATTTCCTATACCACCTGTCTAGGTTACATACAATGGTATCACCTATCGAGATTTCCTATCCCCTGTCTAGGTTACATACAATGGTATCACCTATCGAGATTTTTCCCCCTAGGTTACATACCACCTGATTTCCCCTGTCTAGGTTACATACAATGGTATCACCTATCGAGATTTCCTATCCCCTGTCTAGGTTACATACAATGGTATCACCTATCGAGATTTCCTATCCCCTGTCTAGGTTACATACAATGGTATCACCTATCGAGATTTCCTAGGTTACATACAATGGTATCCCACCCTGTGTCTAGGTTACATACAATGGTATCACCTATCGAGATTTCCTATCCCCTGTCTAGGTTACATACAATGGTATCACCTATCGAGATTTCCCCTGTCTAGGTTACATACAATGGTATCACCTATCGAGATTTCCTATCCCCTGTCTAGGTTACATACAATGGTATCACCTATCGAGATTTCCTATCCCCTGTCTAGGTTACATACAATGGTATCACCTATCGAGATTTCCTATCCCCTGTCTAGGTTACATACAATGGTATCACCTATCGAGATTTCCTATCCCCTGTCTAGGTTACATACAATGGTATCACCTATCGAGATTTCCTATCCACCTGTCTAGGTTACATACAATGGTATCACCTATCGAGATTTCCTATCCCCTGTCTAGGTTACATACAATGGTATCACCTATCGAGATTTCCTATCCCCTGTCTAGGTTACATACAATGGTATCACCTATCGAGATTTCCTATCCCCTGTCTAGGTTACATACAATGGTATCACCTATCGAGATTTCCTATCCCCTGTCTAGGTTACATACAATGGTATCACCTATCGAGATTTCCCCTGTCTAGGTTACATACAATGGTATCACCTATCGAGATTTCCCCTGTCTAGGGTATATATGACCTGTCGAGATTTCCCCTCTCTAGGTTATATATGACCTTTCGAGATTTCCCCTGTCTAGGGTATATATATATGACCTGTCGAGATTTCCCCTGTCTATGTTATATATGACCTGTCGAGATTTCCCCTGTCTATGTTATATATGACCTGTCGAGATTTCTCCTGTCCCGTCTATGTCATATAAGACCTTTCTAGATTTTCCCTGTCTATGTTCTATATGACCTGTCGAGATTTCCCGTCTATGTTAGATAAGACCTTTCGAAATTTTCCCTGTCTACGTTATATAAGACCTGTTGAGATTTCCCCTGTCTAGGTTATATATGGTCCACCGTCTCTTTTGATAAAATCTGGCTTTAGTCTCACATTAACCTAATAAACGCCTGGGAAACATGAAATTTAAAACGTTTACACAGGAAAATGGCAAGATGGAAAAACCGAATGCAATCAAGAAAAAAATACGACAAGTTTGAAGTCGACCGTTTGAGAAAACATAACGAAGGCACCATGGTTGTTGTTTTTATATGTAAAGTAACGCAGCATATTTCATAAGACACATATACATATGTACACAGGTGGCATGCCCTATTTTATTATTTTGCGGTGAAACAATCCATAGTAGGGATCCCCTATTGTCAAACTAAACCTGTTTACTTCTATTGAACGTTTCATTCTACTTCAACATGTCATTTGATATATGCAGGTCGATTGTTAGACAATAGTTAGGACTATAAACACATCTGTTTACCGTAAATACTACTATTTAATTCAGTTAGATTTTACTTTGACGGTAGTTTTAATAACACACTGTTTATCAGACGATAGAGAAAATTTTAAAATGTGACCAGTTCTCGCTAAGAAAGTCAACGAGTTTCGCAAGGTTGAATTCATGTAGTGGTACCAATTGTACCACCAGTAATGAACTGTTACTTCCTGGTGTCCTGTACTGAGTATGTTACAGATTGTACCACCAGTAATGAACTGTTAGTTCCTGGTGTCCTGTACTGAGTATGTTACAGATTGTACCAACAGTAATGAACTGTTAGTTCCTGGTGTCCTGTACTGAGTATGTTACATATTGTACCAACAGTAATGAACTGTTACTTCCTGGTGTCCTGTACTGAGTATGTTACTGATTGTACCACCAGTAATGAACTGTTAGTTCCTGGTGTCCTGTACTGAGTATGTTACAGATTGTACCAACAGTAATGAACTGTTAGTTCCTGGTGTCCTGTACTGAGTATGTTACAGATTGTACCACCAGTAATGAACTGTTAGATCCTGGTTTCTTGTACTGAGTATGTTACATATTGTACCACCAGTAATGAACTTTTAGTTCCTGGTGTCCTGTACTGAGTATGTTACAGATTGTACCACCAGTAATGAACTGTTACTTCCTGGTGTCCTGTACTGAGTATGTTACATATTGTACCAACAGTAATGAACTGTTAGTTCCTGGTGTCCTGTACTGAATATGTTACATATTGTACCACCAGTAATGAACTGTTAGTTCCTGGTGTCCTGTACTGAGTATGTTACAGATTGTACCACCAGTAATGAACTGTTACTTCCTGGTGTCCTGTACTGAGTATGTTACATATTGTACCACCAGTAATGAACTGTTAGTTCCTGGTGTCCTGTACTGAGTATGTTACAGATTGTACCACCAGTAATGAACTGTTACTTCCTGGTGTCCTGTACTGAGTATGTTACAGATTGTACCACCAGTAATAAACTGTTAGTTCCTGGTTTCTTGTACTGAGTATGTTACAGATTGTACCACCAGTAATGAACTGTTAGTTGCTGGTTTCTTGTACTGAGTATGTTACAGATTGTACCACTAGTAATGAACTGTTAGTTGCTGGTTTCTTGTACTGAGTATGTTACAGATTGTACCACCAGTAATGAACTGTTAGTTCCTGGTTTCTTGTACTGAGTATGTTACAGATTGTACCACCAGTAATGAACTGTTACTTCCTGGTGTCCTGTACTGAGTATGTTACAGATTGTACCACCAGTAATGAACTGTTACTTCCTGGTGTCCTGTACTGAGTATGTTACATATTGTACCATCAGTAATGAACTGTTCTCGTTTTCTTGTTCCCAGTAAAGCATTCTAAACACGTGATTAAGGTTGGCAATAACAACTTCTATTATAACGCTTTATGTAACTAAACCCAATAACCACGTTATGCACGTGTTTTATGATTGACAGCGAACATACCTTGGAAGTCCTGACGGATAGGGTTGCAGGTGGCGTTGTTCTGTGAACTTCCGGTACGTTTGTCTCCTTACGATGTGACGATTTCGAGGCGTTTGAATTTGCTGATGTTATTGACGATGACCTTGATGGTGGATTGCTTGACTGTTGCGTTTGGCCTTGACCTCCATCTCCATCTGCAATGGAATTCTTTTCTTCTTCATCACTTCGCTGTGGACTAACATCGGCCATCTTGTTGGGTTCTTATTATTCCTGGTTTTCCCTGATGAGGATGAATCACAACTCAGAAATCAAAAGAAACTGCAACACCTGCAGCATTGGGCTTTGTCTGTATACGTAGGACAGTGAGAGACGACTACAAGTGGTGTGGACAGTGAGAGATGACTACAGTGTACTGTCTATCGGGGAGCGGTGTTAGAAAGATGGTGGACTTCATCCCTTGTCAGATGCACTGTAAATATACATGACATTGTATGTAAGCACAGACGTGTATCCTGATTATACAGAAACATTGTACACTAAGACTGTGCCTGCTTGAGATATCCCGTGTGATAACACGACTCCTTAACATAGATAGTACACGATAACCGTCCACCCAGCGTCCAGTACCTAACCTCGCATGCCTTTAGTATTTATATTGGTTTTCTATTTCATCACTTATGTCTGTATCGAAAATAAATAGTTACTGGTTAGTACGGAGTGTACTGGAGGTAAAGTTTGTGTGTACGATTTGTATAGGAGGTAAAGAATGTGAGTACGGAGTGTACAGGAGGTAAAGTTTGTGTGTACGATTTGTATAGGAGGTAAAGAATGTGTGTACGGAGTGTACAGGAGGTAAAGTTTGTGTGTACGATTTGTATAGGAGGTAAAGAATGTGAGTACGGAGTGTACAGGAGGTAAAGTTTGTGTGTACGATTTGTATAGGAGGTAAAGAACGTAGTGTACTGGAGGTAAAGTTTGTGTGTACGGAGTGTACAGGAGGTAAAGTTTGTGTGTACGATTTGTATAGGAGGTAAAGAATGTGAGTACGGAGTGTACTGGAGGTAAAGTTTGTGTGTACGGAGTGTACTGGAGGTAAAGTTTGTGTGTACGATTTGTATAGGAGGTAAAGAATGTGAGTACGGAGTGTACAGGAGGTAAAGTTTGTGTGTACGATTTGTATAGGAGGTAAAGAATGTGAGTACGGAGTGTACAGGAGGTAAAGTTTGTGTGTACGATTTGTATAGGAGGTAAAGAATGTGAGTACGGAGTGTACTGGAGGTAAAGTTTGTGTGTACGGAGTGTACTGGAGGTAAAGTTTGTGTGTACGATTTGTATAGGACATGCGGAGTGCACTGGAGGTAAAGTTTGTGTGTACCGCATGCACTGGAGGTAAAGTTTGTGTGTACCGCATGCACTGGAGGTAAAGTTTTGTGTACCGCATGCACTGGAGGTAAAGTTTGTGTGTACCGCATGCACTGGAGGTAAAGTTTGTGTGTACGATTTGTATAGGAGGTAAAGAATGTGAGTACGGAGTGTACAGGAGGTGAAGTTTGTGTGTGGTGAAAGTTTATGTGGAAGTCGGTGTTGTGTTCTGAAGGTAAAGTTATCTATGTATAAATTGTGTACTGGACGTTAAGTTTGCCAGTGTGAGCCGCATGCACTGGAGGTAAAGTTTGTGTGTACCGCATGCACTGGAGGTAAAGTTTGTGTGTAGTTTGTGTGTACCGCATGGTAAAGTTTGTGTGTACGGCGTGTGCACTGGAGGTAAAGTTTGTGTGTACGGCGTGCACTGGAGGTAAAGTCTGTGTGTTGTGTACTGGAGGTAAAGTTTTGTGTACCGCATGCACTGGAGGTAAAGTTTGTGTGTGCCGCATGCACTGGAGGTAAAGTTTGTGTGTGCCGCATGCACTGGAGGTAAAGTTTGTGTGTACGGTGGGTATTGGAGGTTTGTATGAAAGTCGTGTACAGGAGGTAAAGTTTGTGTGAACGGCAAAGATTTGAGGTAAAGTTAGCATGTAAGGCATGTACTGAAGGTAATGCACTGGAGGTAAATTTTGGCTGTGTGTACGGCGTGTGCATGAGGTAAAGTCTGTGTGTACGGCGTGTGCATGAGGTAAAGTTTTTCTGTGTGTACGGCGTGTGCATGAGGTAAAGTATGTGTGTACGGCGTGTGCATGAGGTAAAGTTTGTGTGTTCGGCGTGTACAGGAGGTAAAGTTTGTCTGTGTGTACGGCGTGTACAGGAGGTAAAGTTTGTCTGTGTGTACGGCGTGTACAGGAGGTAAAGTTTGTGTGTACGGCGTGTGCAGGAGGTAAAGTTTGTGTGTACGGCGTGTGCATGAGGTAAAGTTTGTGTGTACGGCGTGTGCATGAGGTAAAGTTTGTGTGTACGGCGTGTACAGGAGGTAAAGTTTGTGTGTACGGCGTGTACAGGAGGTAAAGTTTGTCTGTGTGTACGGCGTGTACAGGAGGTAAAGTTTGTCTGTGTGTACGGCGTGTACAGGAGGTAAAGTTTGTCTGTGTGTACGGCGTGTGCATGAGGTAAAGTTTGTCTGTGTGTACGGCGTGTGCATGAGGTAAAGTATGTGTGTACGGCGTGTGCATGAGGTAAAGTTTGTGTGTTCGGCGTGTACAGGAGGTAAAGTTTGTCTGTGTGTACGGCGTGTACAGGAGGTAAAGTTTGTGTGTACGGCGTGTACAGGAGGTAAAGTTTGTCTGTGTGTACGGCGTGTACAGGAGGTAAAGTTTTTCTGTGTGTACGGCGTGTACAGGAGGTAAAGTTTGTGTGTACGGCGTGTACAGGAGGTAAAGTTTGTCTTTGTGTACGGCGTGTACAGGAAGTAAAGTTTGTCTGTGTGTACGGCGTGTACAGGAGGTAAAGTTTGTCTGTGTGTACGGCATGCACAGGAAGTAAAGTTTGTCTGTATGTACGACATGTAAGGAGGTAACTGTTGTTTATAACGTGCACATGTTATAAGAAAAATAAAACGTTGTCCATTCGTACACATTAGAATCTTAATCGTTTTGGAAATGTTGACATTACCCGTTGTCAGTCACCCTTTATAACAATCTTATCAGTTTATGATACTATGGCGACAAATCGGTCAATCAAGAGTTTATAGATAACGCCATTTATACTATAATTAGTACCGGAAGTGTCGGATAACAGTGACCGAGTTAATCACACCAGCTATTTAACACTGCTTGTGCCTTAGTCCTGTAAATAATGTCAACAATTTTCAAAACCAAACAGTTAAAAATAATGTTATTTCATCTCACATATATAGATATATCAGATATGGATCAGGAGTAGAATGAACTTCTTCCCCTTTTCTCAACCTCGCAGTAGAAATGTTACGGCGTAGACAAAATACGGCGTGAAGATGGCAACTCCTTTGGTATGTTAACCTCTTTGGATTGTGGACGTAGTGGTGTTCCCTGGTCACAGCTATGTGTTCTGTATTCCATGAATGTGAATCGGTGTATTTTGCATTCCAAGCTTACAGAACTAAGATTATTGAATATGTGATATAATGTTGTAAACGGTATGAACACAGCTTGGACATTTTCTCAATCCAACCTCCATTTCTGTGCAGTGATCGAATTAAAATGAATCACAGTACAAAAGCACTGCCATGAACCCGACAGGGAGAGGAACCGATTGACTACGTTTATGATTGATTAGTTATATCTGCTGGTATAAAATGTTTATTTCCTTAGAGGTGGATGTATCATTTCAGGAAAAAGATTGTACAATGAATGTGGGGGACAATAAGACAAGAATTTGCCTGAGAAAACAGAAACCGCTCGAGCACACATCAGATGCTTTGTCCTGTCAGTGTAGCGAGTGCGATGCTTCGTTCCCAACAACTTATGATTTTAATACCAGGAATACTGTCTCGTGTGTAGCACATTAAAGAAATGTCATTCCCTCCATACCTTATCATATGCACTACCTATCAAAATAGGTTATCTCCCTACATTTAATATATAATTTCGAGTTCCCTCCGGTGACTTACTTGCCCAAAACCCCGAGTTCCCTTCTGCTGTCGTGTTGTTTTGTGAAGAAGTAATTAATTATTTAACCAAATTAGAGATAAATCTTTACCACAGCCGATAACCAACATGTGTGACGATATTTGTAACTAAAAAGTTCGACAGAATGGAAACACACTGTAAAGAATCGTTTACACTTCGAACACGGAACTGCGATAAGCTTTAACTTGATATCGCAGATAAGGAATTTCTTGTAATTCGCGAACCGAAACTAAATATAGATATGTTCCAGAGCAATTCACTAATTAGTCACGGGAAAAAATATCCAACTTAAGATTAACAATTAGGAAAACCGGGCCCCATAATTCAATGTATATCATAATTTTCATCTTTTATTTGACAAGTTTAGAAAAATAAATATGGCAAAGTGCACGTGTTAGTTTTGAATAGTGCCACTATTCGACTGAACTAAATATGTATAGTGCAGGAAGAAAAATCACGTTCCTCGAACCTATACGAGATATGACCCGAAAAATTGATGAATTTGTGTGAAGTTATAATCCAAGATACAGAATTATTTACTTTTGCCTTCCATCTCTCTGCACAAATTATACATTCATCATATTTTTACAATTAAAAAAAATCTGATATTTTTTCAAATAAAGCGAAAAAATACTAAAGATTTCAGTTTACCCAGTAATCCTAACATCGCGGGATGAAGCCACCTCACCTCGACTGTCTACAAATTGTTTCACTTTTCGTCCATTAATATTTTTAGGATTTTTCTATTGTCTTGTAATGTCTGATGTATTTACCGAGAATTTTGGCAAAATAATCAGATAGCGATGTTAAATTAAACCCGGACACTGGGATTTGTATAAACGTGACTGACCGAGTGATTCACAGAAAAAGTCACATCAACAATGAATGAAATTCTTGACGGGCGCAAATTCGTTTTCTGTACAACGAAATACACAAAAGAAAATCAAAAGCGAGATGGTTTTACATGTTTTATCTTGTGGGGGGACACGGAGGATATTTCTCGGGAAAGGATTTATTGAACATTGACAAATATAAAGAGTCCAGGCCGTTGGCACTTTTACACATGCAGTAAATCTAACTTTTCAGAAATTTTATTCGAATGGAGTTAATGAAAAAGTGATTTTTTAGCAATGCCCTCGTGATATGATAGAGACTCAGGTAACAAAATAAGATATTCATCGATGTCCTTGTTTAGATCTCTCAACATTTTTTTGAAATAAAAGTTTAAAAAGATATTTTAACAATATTTTATTTGATGATATATTTTACATCATAAATAGGGATGTGTATGTGTAACAATCTCTCCTTATCCTTAAGTTTGTGTGATAAAGTGTGTCACGTCCTACTGTCTCACACTCCTTACCGTGTGATTATAAGTAGATGTATATCATCCACATATCAGCTTCATTTGATCCCAGTAAAAAGTCCAGAGAGATAAACTTGTCACT